TCATTAGTTGACAAGATACAATGTAATTTCTTAATTATTGACGTTTTTAAAGATATAAGCTCATCCCGGTGTTACACTCATCAAGAGCTTTCATTTGAGTACCCACATGCATTTTTCATATATTTTATATATTTATATATTTCACAAATACCATATATATAAAATATATAAAAAATGCCATGTATGTACTCAAATGAAAGGTCTCGATAGGTATAACATCGGGATGAGCTTATATCTTCAAAAATGTCAATAATTAAAAAATGACATTGTATCTTGTCAACTAATGATATTTTCAAAGATACAAGCTCATCTCGATGTTATGCTCATCGAGACCTTTCGTTTGAGTACCCACATCAATTTTTCATATATTGTAACAGGTGTGTTATATATTTATATATATTACATATATGTATAAATGAAAAATATATCAAAAAAAGCATGTGGGTACTCAAATGAAAGCTCTTGATGAGTGTAACATCGGGATGAGCTAAAGCAAAATTTTCAACAGTGTAATCTAGTTTTTTTATATCTACTCTCTAGAGTGATCAAACTTTCTGTGCAGTGCATGTTGGATAGGGATTGGGAGTAGAATCGAATAAAAATGTAAAGTAGAGATGAAAGAAATTTTTAAAACGTAAATGTAAATGAAGTGAAAAGTAAAAAGTTTTAAAAATAAATAAATAAAATAAAATAATGAGTAGTGTGGGGTTAAATAGGCAGAGTGAATCGATTTGATGGATTGTACAAGTAGATTTTCTGTCACGATGCGGGTGGACTCACACTACAGGTATGGGATAGAGCTTACGATTTATGAGGGCTTGGCTATTTCACCTAAATCACTATCACGATGCAGAAATCTGTTCTACCTATGAATAATGAATTCTCATACATATGTTCGCCGATATTACATCATCCGCGTCTATATTGTTTATAAAGTTACTTCGGATACTTTTTTTTCGCTTCACTTTGGCTTATGTTCGCCTTGATGGAGATCAAGTTCTGACACTTTGGAAATTTTACTTGATAAATTATAACTATTTATTTATTCGGAGGCTCCTACCCTTTCAGATTTAATCAAGGAAAATTTTTTGAAAATTCTCAACCATAATAAATTAAATTACAGTTTCGTAATTTAGAAATTTTTTTTTAACTTCAATTAAATGGAAATATATAATTTTATTTATTAGGATAAGTATTTAAGCTGCATTCGAAAATTCTCTATCTCTAGATACATAATTAAGAAATGACCTTGTGTCTCGTGAACTATTGACATTTTCAAAGATATAAGCTCACCCTGACATTACACTCATGGAGACCTTTCATTTGAGTACCCACATCAATTTTTTCATATATTTATATATATTATATATATGTATATATGAAAAATATATCAAAATACATGT